GCTGAGTGGGGACAGTCCCGTAGGCACTTACCCTCCTTTTCTCATTGCACTGAGTGAGCATGACAATAATCTGAGACTTCTGCTGTAGGACCATCTTCCAGAAGTCATTTCTGGTTTCAGGCAGTGGCCCCTGCGTGGCGATATACTCCTGGGATGAGTTGTATCCCTGAAAGGTAAGTGACAGAGTTGCCACCTAAGGAACCAAGGCCGTTCTGCATAAATTGGGAAACAACTGAAAATGTACTGGCGATAAACCTGGCAACGGATCTCAGACCTCTGTACCGTGTTCCCCTGTTCCCATGGAAGAGGACGTCAGAGTGACTGACTGTATAGGTCAGTGTGATTTTAAGCATGATCCTTGGGAAGCCTATAAAATCGCACCCTCACTTTCTAAAATGGTAACTACGATCTTTATAGATATTTTAAAACACAGGTGTTCAGGGGGAGCCCTTTGAGTTTGGTTGCCAAAAACATTTAAACGTAAGAAAGATGATCTTTAATGTAATGATCTACTGTTTTCACTCGTCCTTTATGAGGAAATATGAGCATAATTAATGTCTGGGATTCTTTGTTTCCTATTGTTTATTCTGAGATGGAGTCATGGAAACTGTTCTCTAGTAGAAGAAAGGCTTTCTTTTAAACCGTTCGATGCATCCCTGTATCCCTGATGGGTTTTCCTCAGCCTGTGCTGGAATTTGGATGCCTGGTTTACTTTTTATTTTTTATTTCTTTTACTTACAGGAATGTAGTTGGCATTGATGTAGTCTGCTCCTTCCTCTTCATTCATGGAGATTAATCGCACTCGGCTAAAGTCATCTGTACAGAATCAGAAGAAAGGAAATGTTAAAAATTAGAGTGGAAGGAAGAATTGTCTAGATCCTGTCTTCCCAATATCAAGTCAAAATTGTCAGTGACAGAGTAGGGAGATAAAGCTGGTCTTAGCTTGATATGTTAGCCATACCTCAATTTTAGTTTCTTCTTTAAACAAATATATAAATTTCTCTCCATCACTATTTTCTCCCACCAGCTCTCCTGTCCTTTGAAGAATTAGATCCATCTTTTGGGGGAGATTGTGCAGAATATTTACAGAAACTAAAAAATTTGGTAGACTGTATAGAAGGCTACATACAGCATGTATCCTAACTATGTGATTGCCATTTCACATAGTGGCATCCAAGAATGCATTACCTTTGGGAAACCTAGAAGAGAAAAGGGAGTTGCATGGGCTTTTTGTGAATAGAATTCAAATGATAAAAGTAAATTCTGAAATGTGTACAGATGTAAGGTGTTATAATGATAATGCTGCCTAAGATTATCAAGAAACCTTATTAAGGAAAAAATTATTTTTCTAGAGCTTTTTCACTCTCTTTTTTCTGCTTTTCTATCCTGTCTTGGCTCCCTCTGGAGTATAGCAGAGAGGAAAGTTAAATCTATATTGGAATATATTTTAATTGTCTTGTTAGTTCTTCATATTACTTTTTCTTTGAAGGTTGCTTTAATTAAAAAATGCTAAGCAACAACAGAACTTGCCAGAAGTTAAAAAGTGGAGGCATTTTAACACATTGAGCTTCCTTTCCATTTGCCGCCTTCCATTACCAATGAATTGACAGAATTCATTTTATAAGAGCACAGGTTATTTTATTCCTAATTTGGCTAAGACGTTTGATCACTAAAGGGCAAAATGGTCAGTCTTTCCTGTTCAGATGCAATTCATTTAAAAGCTTAATGATCACATCTTCCTACACACGATAGGATCAAATGACATCAGAGCACGGATTCGATCAGAGATGGCCTTGAAGATCCAGACCACAACTGGGTCTGGCCAGAGATTGGTGAAACTGATTAATTTGCATTTAATCATCCTTCGACCTTTGAAAGATATGAGTCAGACCGGCACTATTGACAATCTTACATGGTAGGATGTTTGTATAACGATTTTTACATCGGTTCAGTGGAAGGTCTGCAGCAAAGTGTGGAATATCCAGTCCAATCAATTTCAACTCCTGTAAGTGACAGAGAATAGATTTGAGATTTCCATACATACATGGTGTGGATTGGATGTTCACTTTAGACCATTCTTCACTCCAGCCTATAACAGAATCATCACACCCCCTTTGCCATATGAAGCTGCAGAGCTCCCTTTTGGGACAGAACATACTTCTCCACCCCACTCTTGTCTACTTGCTTTGGCCAATGAACTTGGGTAGGAATCATGTTCAATAAGAAGCTTTAAATGTGCTTGTTTGGTTTGGTTTACCCTCTTGTATTTCTGCCATCTGCCGTGAAAAGAACATGAGTAGGGAAGCTGCAAGTCCCTAAATAAGGAGACATGTGAAACAGTCCTGACACTGACCCATGGCCGAAAGCAGAACTGTCCCTGCTATCCCACAGACCTGCAGTGAGAAAATTAATTGTTGCTGTAGGTCACTGAGATTTTGATGTTGTTTTGTATATAATAGCATTATTGCAGAAACAGCTGACTAATACAATACATACATATCTTGGATAACCTGATGATCATTTGGAGAAGGTAAGGATTATATGCATAATTCTCTGAGTGTGGAAAATCTGAAAACAAGTTTGAAAAGAAATCCATTTCAGATTTTAGGAGGTATATAGTAACTAAAATGTATGCAATTTGCACAAATATTTCCTATTCTCTGAGGAAATGTCAATATTTCTCTTTTAGGCAATGAGCCTTAGAGAAAGTGATAAAAGAAAGAATGAGGAACAATGAAGGAGTATTTTCCATGTAACAAGATGTTGGATTGACAGGTATTTATAAATATACTAGAAGCTCGGTGCACAAATTTGTGCATAGGGGGTGGGGGGGTGTCCCTTGGCCTGGCTGGCAATAGGGGCCGATTGGGGCTGGCCGGCTGGAGGAAGGGAACGTGGGAGGTTGGCTGTGGGAGCACACTGACCATCAGGGGGCAGCTCCTGCATTGAGTGTCTGCCCCCTGGTGGTCAGTGCGCATCATAGCGAGCGGTCGACTGGTCGTTCGGTCATTTAGTCACTTGGGCTTTTATATATATATAGGCTAGAGGCCCAGTGCGTGGATTTGTGCACATTGAAAGGAAATTAATTAGAAGGTGGCTGGCAGGGCGGGACTGGGCAAGATGGGCTTAACAGGCCCTGGAGCCAACCTCCCATGGTCCCTCCCCAGCTGGCCACACCTGGGGCGGCTCCAGGGTTCATAAGGTGTCTGTGGAGTGAGCGGGGTCCCTCAGGCAGGTGGGGTCCCTCAGGCTGGCCTGCGGGGATTGGGCTGAAACCTAAAACCGGCAGTCCAACATCCCCTGAGGGGTCTTGGAGTGTGAGAGGGTACTCTGCAAAGTTGCTGTCACTTGGTAGCTCCTGTGTTGAGGGTCTGCCCCCTGGTGGTCACTGCACATCATACCTATGGGCCAGTCAGCCGGCCAACGGATTGGCTGGTCACTTAGCCTTTTATATATATAGATGGTAAAGAAACCTCAAAAATAAGGATGAATCAGTAGTGGGTAAGTGGAACCTGCAGTGAAAATAAGAACATCCAAATATCTGCCTGTGTGTATCAGTATTCCCATAAATTCTATATCAGAAGGTGAATTGATAGAGTGATTTTTCTATAAACTGACAACCATCACACCTCAAAAAGTTATGCTACTGGACAGATGATTTCTAAGCTGCTTTGTCCTGTGTTTGGTAGGAAACAAGGGTTGTTGTCAAACCACTTAGATTTCCCTGGGACATCGTTCACGCTGTGGTCTGTGTGAACGGTGCTCCCTGAAATTGTATAGGCAGGACCAATGCAGCATACCTACTTATACCCCTCAACAAATTTGCGGGAAATATTAGTAAACAGCATGTGTAGCCATCTATAAGTGGGATTATCTATATAGTCATGCACTTTTCTATAAGACTATTAACTGAGCAACAGAGAAACCACTTGTACATTTTATTTACTCATATAGGATGTTAATATTGTAAACGAGTTTTACTTGTCATAATTATTCCCAATTATTCTTTCAATCATAAACTGGAGGAATACTTCTCAGAGAGAAGAGTTTTGAGAGTCTTTGAAAGACTTTCAAAGGGAGTTGGACACATTGGACGACATTGTGAGAGACTGAACAATGATCTCTCCTTCATGAATTTTGTCTTGGTTCCAGTGCTCTTTGCAAAGCGTATGCTTCTGAATCCAGTTCTTGAAGCTCCCGGGGCTTCCACATAAGAAGTTCAGTGTGTGTGCTTAATGGCGTTGGGAGGCAAGCCTGTGGCCCACAAGGATGAACCAACCAGAATTGTCCAGATTTCTCGGTTCCTCTGCTCCCATCGTACTATAACTTTTCTACCTCACAAAATCTCAAGCTTTTTTTTTTTTTTTTTTTTTTACCTAAATTGAAGCATTGTAAAGACAAACTATTGGTATACTAACTTTGATCCTCAATTCACAAAATTAGAAGTTTTTCTATCTTAATCAAAACCCTTGCTTGCCAAATGCCTTTAAATGTCACTGTTATTACTGGTTTTTCCATTTTCAAGGGTTTTTCAAATCATTCTTGTAAGAAATGAAACCTGGTTTTAGCAACTTCAACTAAATCAGTGTTAGGTTAGGTCCTTTTGGCAGCTATATGCTCATTTAAATGATGCTTCCATTTTTATTTTGGAAATCTACATTCTTTAAAGAGTGCCTTTATACCCTGGCTGGTGTGTCTCAGTGGTTGACCCATGCACCAGGAGGTCACTGGTTCCATTCCCAGTCAGGGCACATGCCTGGGTTGCAGGGATAGTGCAGGAGGCAGCTGATCGATGTTCCTCTCTCATCAACGTTTCTATCTCTCTCACTATCTCCCTTCCTTTCTCTCTAAAAATCAATAAAACCTTTTTTTTTTTTTTTAAATAGCACCTTTATAGATAGCTTGTCAAAACATCTGGCTCATTTTGGGGCCCTGGAAAATTAGTTCAATTCCCATTCACATCAGTGTAATTATTTGTAAGATAAGGCTAATAATTTCTCCATACCTCACTGGTATACAGCGACCACCAAGTGGAATGATTAAACCCAACATATTAATGCAGCACTATGGATAATGGTTGTGAAATGTGTCTGTTTGCCTGCCCCCACAATTCTCCATCCTTTGCCATTTGTACTAACAGACCAGCAACTCTTCCCCCAAGTCCCCTGCTTTGAGGACAGACTGATAAGCCACAGGAAAGGGCGTCAGATACGAAAGAAACAGTGGAAACAGATTGCGGCAGAGAGCTGGGGCACATATGGATGCTGAGTAGCTGATAGAACTTTAATTGTGAGTTGCCTCCCTGCGGTAAATGCCCTCAGTTGATAAAAGAGGTTTAATTGGCTGAACACTGTGAATGTAAATCGCCAGAGCTGAATTGCAGCAAAGCAGGAACCGCATGTACACACAACATGCTCGCAATCTTTTGAAATTCAGCCTGTCGCTAAGTGGAAAATGGAACACACAGTTTCCAGCTCAGTAACTTTGCAGTTATTTTCTTTCTAACCATATGGAATCTCCAGAGGCTTAAAGCTCCAGAAAGTCAAAGTATGAGGGGATGGCCTGAAACCAGCATAAATCATTTTTGAATTTTCTCTTGCTAGTTTTGACTCTAATATAATTTATCAGCATGAGTTTGTTTGTTTTTTCTAGGCCACAGAGTCACCATATGAATGGTGGTCCCCCCAAAAGGTATGTCCACGTCGTAACCCCCAGGACCTGTGAATGTGGCCTTATTTGGAAGGAGGGTGTTTGCAGATGTAATTAAGTTAAGGATCATGAGACAAGTCCTTTTTGCATTAACCAGGTGGGCCCTAAATCTAATGACAGGTGTTCTTATGAAGGGGAGGAGAGGAGAAGGCCATATGAAGGTGGAGGCACAGATGTGAGTTAGGCAGCTGCAAGCCAAGGAATGCCTGGAGTCACCAGAAATGGAAGATTCTCCTCTGCAGCCTTCACAGGGAGCATGGCCCTGCTAACACTTTGATTGTGGACTTCTGGCCTCTAGAATTGTGAGAGAATAAATTTCTGTTGCTTACAGCCACCGAGATTATGGTAATTTGTTACGGCCACCCTAGGAAACCAATACAGCCACCAAGGCCCAATGGAAGTCCCTCCTCTGTGGCTGTGTTAGAAGCCCGCAAGTCTTGAAAAGCAAAGCAGTGTATGTGCACGGTGCTAGTTGTATCTCTCCAATCTCTGCATTGTCATCACACGGCAGTCTCCTTGTTTCTGAATTGTCGCATAGCTGTCTTTTCATAAGGACTTCCACCCTACTGTAGTATGACCTTATCTTAACTAATTATACCCGCAAATGACCCTATTTCCAAATAAGTAAGAATGGGGTGCAGCAGTGATGAAAGTCTTGGGCAGGTAATGGAAGATGGCTAAGAAGAAAGTTAACCTCAGGAGTGTCTAGCAATCGCTACCAGGGCTTTGGGCTCAAGGATGGGATTTAGGGACAACACTCCAATCACTGGACGCATTACTGTTACAGGAACTTGGGAACAGAGGAAATTAGAAATGAGAGGAAAGAAAACTCAGGTCTGGAGCAATGTATGAACCCTGGTGTTGGAGAGGGTTCAAGGAAATATTTTTCAACAAGAACTGCAGGTAGGTCTCTAGTGACCTGGACGGAAACACGGGTAAGAACAGTGCAAATGAAAGCTACTCTCAGAAATCAGAGGCCATCCTTTGTGGACTATATGAGAAGTAAAGTAATTTTGCTTTTATCTTTGTAGACACACATTCCACTAGCATCCCAATCAAACACAAAACACAGAAAATAATGGCAGAATGAGCAGTAGGAGGGATGTTTCGTGGGCTCTCAAATTTCAAGCTCTAGTCTGGCTCTTCAAAACCTTCTCCATCTGAGACATAAGAAATGAGGAATTGAATCTAATCCCTGGTTCCCAAACCTCCCTAAGAAAAGATGTATATTTTTTGTTAGAAGGATAATCAGTCTTTCTAGTAGATGCAAAAATCAGATGCATAGTGAAGAGTAATTTATTCAGTGAATGCAAATTAGCAACTTGTATAGTTTCATGTATGACTTATGGATGTATTGGTTGTATATATAAATCTAGACATTAGTTTCAATTTGCATAATGCTTACAAGTGATGAAATTTCTCTATATGGGTGTGCTCTTTCAATGTCAGAATCAAAATGAATTATACAACTATTCAGCATTAATATAAACAGAACAAATAACTGTCCAGCCAATGGATTTAGCTAGACCAGCTGACTGAGCCATCTTAACACCTGCTCGGGTTTCCATTACAGAGGAAACATTTTTGTCCCTTAAACCTCAATTAACTATCAACTTCAGGAAAATTTGAGGGCCGCCATGTGGAAGGTCCAACATGCAACCTGAAGTCAGGTATGGGAGCACAATGTGTCTATGAAAGTAGAGGAAGAGACGATGAGGATGTAGGGTGGGTAGAGTTGGGAACTGGCAATATCTGGGAGGCTCTCAAATGAAAAAGGAAGTGAGCCAGACTAGTGGGTCACTGCTTGAGCAAATGTTAGCCCAAAACAAACAATCTGAGCTTGTGATTTACATAAATCAGACTTCTGGAGAGTAATTTGCATTTTCTCACCATGCGAAGACACCAAATAAATTATATATATAGCAGGACTCGTCACCCAATGAATTACATATATGACCAATAATACTCTAAGAACAAAGATATATGGGGAAAAAACTTCATAATAAGTGAAAATACTAAACACTCCTTCCAATCACGGTATGATGGTTAATTTGATGTGTCAGCTTGGCAAGGTTATAGCACCAAGTTTCTTGGTCAGACATCAAGTCCAGATGTCCTGTGTAAGTATCTTTTTAGATGTGATTAACATGTCAATTGGGAGTAGACTTTGAGAAAGCAGATTAGCTTCCAAAATGTGGGTGGATCTTATCTAGTAAATCGAAGGCCTTACGAGGAAAGATGGAAGTCCCCGGAGGAGGAAGTAATTCTGCTTCCAGACTTTGGACTTGAGCGGCAATATCACCTCTTCCCCAGGTCCCCAGCCTGCCCTGCGGATTTCACACTAGCTCTGGCAGTCATGTGAGCCAATTTCTTAAAATAAATCTCTCCATCTCGCTTTCTCTAAATCCTATTATATCATCTATCTATCTACTTATCTATCTATCTATCTATCTATCTATCTATTCCATTTCTCTGCAGAATCCTGACCATCACACGTGAGGATTAAAAATTGGGTGTATCCATACCTCACATTTAGTCCTGTGTTCTCAGGGGACTACTATTATCTTGGGACAATTCTTTGCTGTGTGGGACTGTCCCACTTATTAAAGAACATTTAGCATCCCTGTTTCTCTCCCCACTAAACACCACTAGTAGGTTACTCCCAAGCCATATGACAACCAAAAAACAAAAACACCACCACCAACAACAAAAAGAACACTCCTACACATCCGCAAACCCTGCCTGGGGAACTGCCTGGTACTGGCCCCATTGAGAATCACTGATTCTGTGAAGCCTACCATTTTATAGATGAAGAAACTCAGGTGATGACAAATTTGATTTTTTCAATATTAATTAGTGGCAAAATGGTAGGGAGGAGCCAGGTTTTTGAATTCTCAGTTTAGTACATTCCTATATCCTTTATAAATTCTATGAGATAAGCCTAGATGTGTTTAACACCAAATGTATAAAAGCCCTCAACATATTAAAAAGTGAGAATTTAGCACATAAAATTTACAATTCTACTTCTCACATTTTTGAAGCATCTGCAGCTGGGATCTAATCCCTTACTGTTTGGTTATCCAGTGTCCTTGCTTTGAAAATAACAGTCTCCTTCGATTTAGCTTAGTGCTTCCAGTAAGAGCTGCTCTATTCTTAGGTGATTCTGCCCTCCTTGGCTGTGGTTGGTTTGAGTGGACATCATGACCTAGGCCAACCAATTAGAATCATCCCCTGTTAATTTGCAAAATATGAACAAGAGAGTCAAGTGTTCCCATTGGAAACCATGGAAACTATACAATAAGACATAGAGGTTTTTGGTGGTCATGTTTGCCATAGAGACAGAGGTTGGCTTACAGTGAAAGAAAGTGAAGCCAAGACAGAGAGAGAAGCAGAAGTGAGAAATAAAAAGTCTCTGCAGGGGTGTGGCCTCTAGTTCCAATTATACTTTTGACAGGGCTGCTTCCCTGCCCTCCTGGTTCAGCTACTCATTCTTCCCTTTGATCACATGACATAACTTAGCATCCTTGGAATGAATTCCATTTTCCTTTGGTCTAAACTAGTTTGGATTGTGTTCCTGTCATGGACAACTAAAAGAATCTTTTCTTTTTACAAAACATAAAAGACTAATTGAATTTTTAAAATACTAATGCATTTTAGAAGCACAGTAATAGTTACACCAAAGTTTGACAGGAGGTACTCCTCATCCTCCCAGCAAAGGCAGGGATGTAGCTGTGTCACTAAGGTCATATAATCTTGTAGAAATTAAGAGGTTGTGGCTTCAATGAGGTTGAAAGTGTACCTACATCATAATCTTCATCATTAGAACTATCTAGCTATTTATATTTTCTAAGTTTGGGCTTATGTTTTCTTATAAAACTCTCCTCCTTTCATCGATATAATTTCTGAAATGACATCCTCACCATAGATCTCCAATTCAAACGAAATTTCTGCTCTTTGAGATACAGCATAAGGTGCAACATCTATAATTTCTTATGCACCTGCACACAATGGCTAACTGAACCAGGCTCTATGTGGAATTTCTCATGACACAGGTGGTAGTTAGGGCTTTGTATCTGATAACATCTGAAGTTCTCATCCTTATTGTCCCTGTTAGAATTTCCACACCAGGATTCCCCATTTCTTGCAGGCCAAATTGTCCTTGGCTGATGAGTGGAAAGAAGAAATTAATATGAATAATGAGGAGGAAGGAACTGCATTCTACAACCTGCTATTTCACAGGAAGGAGCACCTTTAAGGCTTTAAAAAAATCTACAGTATTTAGAAAAGTCACTTTGTTTTTCCATTTTCTCTGACTCCCCTGAATCATGGACCCCCCGTAGAAAGCTGAAGATGTGCCCGTCCAGACTGTGCTATGTGCTTTGAAACACATGGGAAGAGAACGTGAGGACCAGTGATCGTCCTCACACTGCTGGGACCCAGGCTTACTCATTCCCATGCGCTCTGACACATGGTCTTGGACTCAAACAAATATGTGTGCCTCAGAAATAGGAGGTGCTGACAACTCTTTTCTTCCACACAAACCATGTCTAATTCTCCCCAATTTCTCCAAGAAAAGGAAAGAAAACTTCACAAGAAAATATTAAGTAGAATGCCAAGAGTCCTATAGGCAGAAGAGCCCCACCATAGACACTTAAATGCCCATAAGACAAACAGGTCCATTTCACCCACCATACGGTGGCGAAGTGGCATGAGAGACACACTAAAAATCCCCTGAAAGTGAAATTCTGTTTCCAATCTCAGTCGTCAGCTTGCTTTCCCCTGCAGTCTCAAGCACCTTGATTTTCAACGGTAGCTTCTCCCATAACCACGTTTGCTCACCTCAGTTCCTGCATCTCCTTTCCTTCATCTGTGCCCCTAGTCCTGACCTAGTAACTAAGAGCTGACATCCTATCTCTGAACCTGCAGATCAGACACTCCTGAGCCCATCCTGTTTATGATGTAACCTCATTCCAGGCGCTGCCCAGTGAGCAGGGACAGGACACCAACCCAAACCTACCAGTCCCCTTGCCCCTTCTACCAGAGGGCAGGGTCTGCTTTATTCACTCACCTCGAATTGAAGAGAAAATTTATAGTCAGAGTCTTTGGCCATATCCCTGATGTAGGCGTCAAAGTCGTCCAGTTGAACCGGGCTTTGTCAAACACAAAGAAAAGTATGTTTTAAAAAAACCTATTGTTAGGTATTGTTTAACACCTTACTTCTCAAACATGAACACTTTTCTTGGAGAAAATAGTTTTGCTTCTCAAAGGTTAGCACACTGTTTTTTGTTGTTGTTTGTTTTTTGATTAAATTTACCAGTCCCTACTATATTGTAATTAAAAAGAGAGCCATCTAAATGAAGCATCCTTGAGATAGGAGATATCTTTAGATTTTCAACTTACTCCAGCAGTAAAATAGTATATACCTGAAAACTCACACACATACTCATATGTGTGGTTTCTAGAAAATTCTGGTTTATGGGGGGAAAAATATAGATTAGACCCTGCAGACTTGTAGGAGTTATGGTTTTACTTTACTTTCTGTGTGATCTTGGAGAGTTTACCTAACTCTTCTGAGATTCAGCATTCTCAGCTTTGGAATACTATTATCATACCACCTCACAAGGTTGCACACCGTATGTTAAAGAACCTTGACAGTTTAAAGAAGCTTTACAAGTGTAAGGAATTGGGTGCTGATTACGCTGTCTCCCCAGGACAGAGGCAGGATTGGGTGGAACAATAGATCCAGAGAGCTGCCAGGGCCTCCCTTTGAGAGCCATGCTTAGAGGTTTGCATATCTATCAAATGATATGCAGGCTCAGAGGTACCATCTAATAAGACATCTGAGCAACTGTAGCAAAAGCTGTCCCCTCTTCTCGTTTGTTTTTTTAAAAAAATAAGCACTATGGCTTATATCCTGTAGTTTTTCTTTTTAAATATATTTTTATTGTTGATAGTATTATAGACATCTCCCACTCCCCCGCTTCCCCTTCTCTTCTCAGCCCCTATCCAGCACCCCATGGCTTCACTACCCTATTGCCCGTGTCCATGGGCTATGCATTTAAGTATATAAGTTCTTTGGTTTATCTCTGCTCATCTCCCCCAACTCCATAGCGAGGTATGTCAGGCTGTTCCATGCCTCCCTGCTTTGGGTCTTATTTTGTTGGTCAATTCATGTTGTTCACTAGAGTCTACAAATAACTGAAATCATGTGATATTTGTCTTTCTCAGATTGGCTTATTTCACTTGGCATAATATTTTCCAGGTCCATCCATGCCGTCTCCAATAGTTTTCTATAGCTGCTTACTGCGCCTATACTCTACCTAGACTGACCTGCTCCCTAAGCTTCTGCAGCATGCTGTCCTCTGCCACCTACCCCAAGCCTTCTACTCTGTCAGGGTCCACATAGTTGTCCTTTCTTTGAGTCTTGTTGCAAGTTACTCAGCTTATGTCATCTACATGTGGCCTTGTATCTTCATAGCAAATACACAGTTCGTAATAGCCATTTGTTTAAAGTTGTTGATTAGCTAATCTGATAGTTAACTTATTTTACTAGATTTAAAGGCCATTATACCTCCCAGATAATATATTTAAACTTTAATGGTTTTTCTTAATAATAATAACAACACTAATGAGTTATATACACCTAAAATATTTACATATGTTATCTTGCTTGATTGATGGTAAGATAGACATGGCCAACATTACCCCATGCTCCAGATGAGAGAGTCAAGGCTAAGAGAATCAAGGGAGTAGTCCAAGACCACATGACCACTGAGCCGTACAACTCTGGCTGGAACCCAGAGAGAATGATTCCCAGTTAAAAGCTTTTGTACTTCAAACTTGCCATCCTTCCCCCAAAATGGCTAAACGTGTGAGCATCAATAGAAACACCAAGTCAGAGAAAATATTTAGGGGTTAGAAAAAGCAGAAGCAGGAAAAAGAGGGAAAAGAGAGAGACAGAGAAAGAACCAGAAACATCAGGGAGAGGATGATGAGGAGAAGGATGAGAAAAAGGAATCTGGGAGGGAGCAGAGATGAGGACAAAGATTTAGAGGGAAAGCGGGGAAGGAGAAGGTGCAGGAAAGGAGTGATGGGACGAAGATGAGTGGAGATGGAAAAGGAGAGCCAAAGGGATATGGTGGTTGGGGGCATTTGGGGTGAAAGAGAAAAAGTAAAAAGAAAGTAAATAGAAAGTTGGGGAGGAGGGTAGAAAGCGCCCCAATACATGGCTTTTGGAGAAGGAAATAGGATTAGAGGGAAAACAAGAAGAGGGAATGAGGAAGCTGGTTTGATGCAATGTTCTGGCTTGTGGGCAGTTTCCACCACTCCTAAACTCTACCCAACTTCTGTCCACATCCTGCTTCTTATTCTCCTCTCTGCCTGGGCCTTGGGAGGAGCAAACCCTGATGGCATCTCCCTTTTTGGTTCTGAGACCCTGTCTTTTAACTGTTCTAGCCTATGCCTCTCTATCTCATGTAACAACCCAGTAGATAATTTGGGCAATGAAGTCTTTCTGTTTTTGTCAAGTCATTCCTTCCCGGAGACAGTACCTCTCCTCTCTTCAGGCCAGTCTTGTGTCTCCTACATCACTTGGTATAAGCCAATGGATTTGAAATAGATTTAGGAAAAAATTATTCAGTTATTTACATGTACTAAAATATGATGTCACTCAAGGTTATATAGAAATATGTTTGCATCAACTTTTCTTTTGTATTAAGTGCTTTGTGACTTTGTCCTCATTGGCATAGGTGCCATAGATCTGGCTGGAACCCCTAATTGCCTCAGATTAATTCACCAATATTCTATCCTGGGCAAGTGTCAAGGATGAGTTCTATTTATAGATGTTCCACTCTTTCTATGCACAGTTTAAGTGAAGGCCTGGAGGTGAACATCTAATTAGGCTTTTGAAATCAACTGATGGTTAATTTTCACCCATCAGAATCTTAATTCTTATGACTTAACAGTTCAGTAGCTAAGGAAAACCACAGGCAAGCAAGAGCAATTGTCTTTTTCTATTTATTGCAAAGCTTTCCTGAGGCAGCACTTCTCAAAGCATTGATTATAACATCAAATCTAGTACAAGCCTCTCTGCAATAAGCACAGAGCTTCCAAGTACAAAATGACAAAGGCTTTTGTACAATTTTGATGTGGCTAAAAGTTAATTTTTTTCTAGATTTAGAGAAACCTTTCCTTCGGCAAGACTTTGATAATTCCTAACAACCCATTCTTATTTGTCTTTCATTTGGTGATAATATTTTTTATAGGAATATAAAAAAATATGTTTCTGTGATACACCCACCTACTTAGTAGTCACTCCATCCATATGTGTAAACACACCAACACATACTATCTTAGCTATTTTAATACACAACTGCCTCTTTTAAAAAAAAAATCATTGTAAGAGTTTATTTGAGCCAAAATGAGGATATATATGCCTGGGAACAAGATCCCAAATGCTCCTAGCTTCTTTCTTAAGCATCTCTTCTATTTGAAAATAAATAATCTTTTTAACTTGTAATGTTAACACCATTATGAAGAACATTTTTAAAGAAAATACTTTAAAATGAAATAGTAAGAAAAACTTACTGTATGACATACTTAAAAATTGCTAAGAGACTAGACTTTGCCGAAACCGGTTTGGCTCAGTGGATGGAGCGTCGGCCTGCGGACTGAAAGGTCCCAGGTTCGATTCCGGTCAAAGGCATGTACCTGGGTTGCAGGCACATCCCCAGTGGGAAATGTGCAGGAGGCATCTGATCGATGTTTCTCTCTCATCGATGTTTCTAACTCTCTATCTCTCTCCCTTCCTCTCTGTAAAAATTCAATAAAATATATATTAAAAAAAAAATTAAAAAAAAAAAGAGACTAGACTTTAAGTGTGCTCACCACAAAAAGAAAAAGATAATTATGTTACAGATGGAGATGCTAGCTGATGCTAGAGTGGTAATCATATTGCAATATGTAAATCTGTCAAGTCAATACATTATACACCTTAAACATGCACAATGTTAAATATCAATCATATATTAATAATGAAAATACTTACTTAGTCAGTTTTCTCTTCTTTAAACCATTTTTACTCCTGAGAATTAAAAAAAAGAGACAAATTTATCTGGGCAAAAGAATTGGTTAACATAATGATTAAACTTGAAGAATTTTAAATAATTACATCAAGCACCTCAATTTTATTTAATTTTCACTAAACATATCTCAGATTTGTTTAATTACTTTTCCTTAATTGAGAACATAATGATAATAATTTCAGAGTCATTTAAAAAAACTCTATTAGATTACAGGAACATACCTATACTTTATATTTAATATTTGCCAGAAACAGAAATTTGGAAATATATAATTTCTTGCTACTGGTGATTAAGTTGCTAAAGTCATGTTGTAAATACATAAAAATACCAACCTCCTGAATTCTCCCAGTTCTACAGGAAAGAAGCAAAAAACCAGGGAATAACAGTGAGAAATAATGGTGGGAGGTAGGACATGTTGGTCTCTTAATTAAAACTAAAATAGCTTTCTGAACATTTCTGTTGGGCATGTAAATTTGTGCTACCAGTGTTGGATTGTGTCTTATATAATTCTACTATGGCATTGTTTAATATTCAATTATAAACTAGCTTTTAAGCTGTTTGAGGAATTGAACCAATTACCTGGTTGTTCTTAATTCATTACTAGTTTGTAAGCTCAACACAAGGTATGCTTCAGTTAATTACAAGGGGGTACTTTAGGGGAATAGTTCTCAATCAACAAGTACGATAACTGACCTAGTAGCTAATGCTAAGATAGTCAGCTGAAGCACTTCATTATTATAGTTTAATTTCTTACATAAGTAATACCAGGTATGATTGTGAGCAAATACCTTTTATAAGTATTTTCAAGGAGCTTTGAAAATTGATGGAAGCACCCAAACTTTCAGAAAATAAACCATCTATACCAAATAACTTGGTGCCAAAATATTTATTTACATGAGAACTATGCATGCTTGGATGCCTCCATTTCCAGAAGGCCTTCAGCAGAATAAAGCACTACTTTCTCTGCTTGCACAGCACTTTACTCTCGGGGCATTTCTCACATTGTCTGACTGTCCATCAGACTGCTCGTCTGGCTGCTTGACTATTCCATCCCCCAGAGCTGAGCACAGTTATTGGAACACATAGTGGGTGTTAAATAAATGCTGATTTAATTCAGTTAAAACAAACAACTTTGCTATGTCACCCTGACCATTTTACTTAATGATTCAATTAAGAATTTGATACTTGGACTCCCGAGGTCCCATTGGAGAAATGGGACTTTCGGAGGGAGAGAAAGTGAGGCAGGACAGAAAATGTAGGGGAATGTCTGCAAGGCAAGTGGTATTTATGGTTTCAGGTAGGTTTTATTCTTTCCCAATTCTGAGGGAAGACAGCCCATTCAAAAATTCCTGTCCTCATCCTCTCTTTGTCTTCTACGCTTGGGATTTAAAGGGAATAAACATTCCAGTTTTTACTTTGCCTCTCTCTTATCCCCTCAACGCCCCACTGTAATACTGGGCAGAGCTGTACCACACAAGCATTTGGAAACCTTGAGAAATGTCCCTTGAATAATTACTCAGCGCTTGCAATGGTAATTCAGCTAACTTTAGGAATACCACATTTACTTCATGTGGCAGAATGTTAGCATAAATAACTAATGGTTCTGGCAAAGTTAGGAGGCTGCCAACATATTTTATGATTGGGAGTGAATTTTTTTAAAAGAAAGAAACCTTTCCTTACCAAACAGACTGTAAGGGAACCGGGGAAGAAACAAGTGTGTGTGGGAGGGTGACACTGAATAAATTCAGTGCTGAAATATTAAGCTGCTACTATTCACAGCTGTGCAGAAATCTGACTCATGGAGGAGAGGCGCTGGTGTTTCAATCTCATTCATTGATTGAACGAATGGACTTTGAACCTATGTGAAATTCTACCACATGCTTTAAGATGACTCACTGTCATACTCTGATCATCATAATTGCAGGTCTTCATAATTGTGCACAACTCTCATTGTTACACCTAGGTTTTGCTGAATTTCTATAGCTACCCTAAGGCTGTGGGACATGACCAAAGGACTGAATTATGAGACTCCACAGCAATACTGATATAATTATGCAACATTTGTAATTGCTGTGTTCATTCTAAGACTAACCTCATGGGAAATTCACTTTTAAACATGTAAGTTAAGTCTTTGCTAACAATGTTAACTTCAGCACATTCTGGAAAAAGCTAGTGTGTGTGCATGTTACAATGAACATGTTGGGTGGTGCTTAGGGTATCATCTCATTGCAAAAGATTTTATGAATAACTGACAAAACCATGGTATTTGTCCAGATAGAAACATGGTATATGTCCATATAGAATGATACACTTCTTTTAATTTTCCCCTGTCATTTATATTAGGTAGGTAAGGTTCAATACCCCAATGATTTCAAGAAGCTAAGCTGCATTCTTTGTAAGTCCTTCATGGTATGACAGTCTTAGAAAGCTAGTCAGATCAGAATTCATTGCAAAGAAGAATATAAAGCAATGACAGAGCATGGGCTTCATGATGATTAAAAACAAAACCCCTCCCCAAAGTCTAGACATCCCCAATTTCATAAGCACTACTTACTTTCTCATGAGCTAAATGGAAATCACCCCCAAATCTTAAGAAAAAGTCTTTAGAATTACATCATCCTTTGAGTAGAGCATGCAATAACCATGAGCGAAGCTTAGCATTTTAAAGTAAATAACACTTCATGCTTAGAATGTCAACAACTGTGGAGGAGTTAGAACAGGCAGATGCATAGTAGGGAACAGTATGAGGGTGAATATGGAAACAAGAAAAGAGAGGGTAATAACACTGAATCCAGATAGACGATCTGAGATCATGAAAGTCAGAAATCGTGGCAGAAAACAACACTTAACTAAGCCAACTGATCACAGGGGGTCAGCCCCGAATCTGTGACCATCCTGGGAAAAGATTCCAGTGACACTATGAGAAAGAGAATTGATTTCCACAGGAACCACTAGAGACATCAGGAGGATTTTAGAAAACCAATAGGATCATATCTTCTCACGAAGTGGATAGTTTAGAGAAGAAGCTGGGCAGTATGTTAGGAGGGGGGTGAGTTATTAGATGAAAAGTAGCAAACAGCAGGGAATTCGGGCAGCTTTCTGAGTACTGAGCTAAGCCAGGAGAAGGGACCATGAATTTTACTTCGATATTTGGCATGGCAAAGCCTCAGGCTGAAAGCATAGATTATGATCAGTATATTTTTATTGATTGATCTGTGTGTGTGCAGTTTACTAAAAGTGACAGAAAGCATGGGGCTCTATGTTTTGCCTTCTGTTCTTGCCTGGAGAGAACCATTTCCTGTTTCAGGATTGTTTTTCTACAAACTACTGAAGGGCATTTACTCCTAACTCGGGTCTCATGTTATTTGATTAGTACTGTAAATAGTGGACCTTGAAGGGTTGCTGAAATTTGATCTTGTGTTCACCAGAGGGACCTATTAAAAAAGACATGCAAGCCCTGGCTGGGTAGCTCAGATGGTTAGAGCATCGTCCAGATACACCATGATTGGGAGTTCAATCACTGGTCAGGGCACACACAAGAATCAACCAATGAATGCATCAATAAGTGGAACAGCAAATCAATGTCTCTTTCTCTCTAAAATCAACAAAAAGTTATATATATATGTAT